AAACAACATCCAATCATAGATAAGGACTTCACATAAAATTTTCATTTATTCAAAAGGAAAAGAAAATTGATAATTACAAATTGCATTTCCTTGAATTTTGCTACATTTTGGCAAAAAGAAAACAGAAGTTAGCGTTTTAAAGGAGCATGTAAGTTCTTACCAGCTGCCTAGCACGCAGAGCATTTAAAGAGTTGCGAGCAAAGAGTGCAGCCATTGATTTCCTTGTGCTGATTTTAACAGAAGTTTCTCCCTGAAGAGAAACAGAAAACTCTTAATAAATGGAAAATTTCGAGATAACGTTGTTAACATCAATTAATTTCAATTCTCTGAATGCTGAATTGTTTCCTTCACATTTTACAGTAAGAATTTCATTTTTCAAAGGAAGTGGAAGAGATGTAAAAATATTTAATTTTTCATTTCTCGACCTAAAATAAGCAATCCCTGGTCAGTTCATCAGCAAATCAAGCCTATAAACAAAGAATCAGAAAAAAAAGAAATTACAGTCATACGAGCTAAACAAAAGATCGCGTGATGCCCTAAACTCAATAACCATGCAAAGAAACATAAATCAGATTCAAAACCTAAATCAAAACCGCATTAGAAAGAAGCCCACAAACAGAAATCAGACTGAAATTCTAAAAAAAAAAAAAAAAATCAGAAAGCCATATAGAAAAACCCAACAAAACTTCACCAGAACATTTAAAAATTCAATGAAGAAACAGAGATTATAACTACATAAGGTACGAAGAATTACAAATATAATAGCAAATGAGGAAAGTGTAGCGAGAGAAAGACATACCTGAACCAGAAGAGAAGAAAAATGAGTGAGGGGAAAGGGAGGAGGATGGAGGCCTGTCGCGAGGAAAAGAGTTCCGAAAGAGCTGGAGGTAATTACACTAGTGGTGGCTAAACTTTCAGCTTGGTTACTGTTAGATTCCTAACTTTTTTTTAATCATCTGAATCCATATCTTTTATTTTGTTATAATTCCATTAACTTCTTTTAATTGTTTTTATGTTATTGTAAAAGAATAACAAAAAAACTGTAAATTTAATTAGCATCTACGCTATTTTCTATTTTACCAAAAAAAATGGAATAACAAAAAAATTAGATTACACGGTACATACGTTTGGATAAAAATCATGATTGATATCAGGGGCTTCTTCCGAAACCTATATGCCACAGTGTTGCATCGTACGTGGTACCATCCTTGAGCTCCCAATACCTTCACCGCCCTCACTCAAAGAAGGAGAGGTAAGTGAGCAAATATTTGGAGATACTTATCATGCACAATAGATTTGAGAGGAGCAAAGAAAATTGTAAATTGGACCTCCTACATGGTAGTGAAGACTTAAGTATTGCTTCAAAGTTAATTTCTTGGGAGATCAATGGCTTGTACCACTTTGAAATGTATCTTCATGCATCCAAATTGTGGCCTTGAGAAGCATTAAAAATCATCATTAGGTCTTTCTTCTTTAATAACAATCTGAAAATCAATGAATAAAGCACTTTCCTCTCCAGATTGGAGAGTCCATCAGTTGCTCTATCTGCATCAATTTGAGTGCAGCAAGAGTATTTTGGTTTCTCATGCAACTTCAACTTGTTTTCATTGTTTAAACTTTACAAGTTAGAGTTTGATCTAGCCATGAAGAGTAGTGATTTGAAAAGGGCTCTTCAGTGTCTTCTAACAATGAGCAGTAGCAGGGATATAAGACAAGATAGTACTGTTCTGAATGACATCCTAAATTTAACAACTAAAATGGAAAATATGGCTGAAGCAGTTCAAGGAATTGTAAAATATGCACAGGAGTTTTTGGACCTCATTGATGCTGCTGATGCTATTGCTCAAGCTGATATTGCTCGCGAAGCTCTAAAATGGTTAGCTACTGCAGGTTCAATGAAAGGGGCTTTACACGGTCAGGAGTTAAGAGGACTATGGGGAGTTAACACGTCTTAGTGCAATTAAGTTCCCATATTTGTTTCTCTTCCACACTTGTTTTCCAAGCCCTTGGATGGTTGCAAGTTGCATAAGATCTGCTTCAGTTCAATTTTCTATTGTAAGATATATTTATGACGCATCTGAGGTAGTTGGTCACAAAAATAGCCTTTTTTTGTGCCATAAGACTGCTCATCCCTTCTCTCTTCTCTTCTTTCAGTAATCCACATATTTCATTCATTCAGTTTGCTTGGATTCTGTGCACGCTAGGAAGTTTTTGTATTATCTTCATGATGTTGCATATATACGCAATGTGATTCTCATAGATCATGGTACCCGTCGAAGTTTTGGAGATTTGGACTTTCTTGGTCTCAGAGTGGTTCTCATTTCTTTTGCTGAAAAATTAATTGCCATTAAGGTTAAAGGATGTTCATGTCTTTGCTGTGTCGAAGGCAATTAAACCATTGAACCCTCATCTTTTTTCTCTCATAGGATTCAGCAATATTTCTTGTCAGTTATTGGATTTTCTTTAAACTGAATGGATGTACAAAATCGTGTCTTCGGCTTTTAATTGCTGTACTTTCTAAACAACTAATATCTGCGACTGTAAGGTCTGGTAAACAATCTGGTCTCTCTTGGGTTGGAACGGGAAGCGGTAATTGCAGCTGCAGTATTGGGAGACAATGATCTTACAAAAAGGCCTGGCAGGGTACTGGGATGCTTGCAGAGGCAGTGCTACATGCTCACGTTTTGGTTCTTTATGCAGACAATCCATATTAGTGTTTAGTTCGATCGGTTCATCCATATCTTACCAGTCTCGTAACTATTTCAGCCTCAGGGGTGGCCAACATTGAAGAACTTTGTTGAGGTTTGGAACAAAATGTTGCAAAAAGAGGTAGAGTACACCCCATCAGCTAAGACAGACGCTTCAGCTGGAGGAACCTTAGTTTACAAGTTTGTCAGAGGTGGGGAAGAAACCGATGATTGAAATCCTCCCTCCGGAGATGTCTGCTCTTTCTGCTTCGATTTATATTTAGAAAAAACTTTCTCCTGCCACAGAATTCCCTGCAGCAACCAAGCAAACCTGTGGCATTATAAACACCTCCGTCTACTGAACTGGCAGCAGTAGCAACAAGTGCTCCACCGTCATCTAAATCAGGTGAACCAGCTTCAGATGATAAATCACCTAATTCATAAGCAAAGAGCAATCCAGACCAGGCTGATTTGGAACAAAGTAAGCCAGAAACATCTGCAAGTGCAGTCCCAGATAGTACGCGACCAGATACAGCACCACCAGCAGTATCCTGAGGCACCCGCAAATGGTAACGACGAACCAATAGTACCAATAATGTTGCAATAAGTGGCCTAATTATTTGAGTCCACAGATTAGCAAAACAGTGAGCGTTTTGCTTCCAGGAATGTTGTATCCATTCCCTATATATGTCACACAGGACCCCTAGCACCCTGAAAATCATTCTAGGATGTGATATCCTGGTGAGAATAATCTCCCCCTGATAAAATTAGAAATCGTGAAGTTATTGTTTTCCATGTATATTTTGGGTCAGAAATATAAATTAACGCTGACCTTTTGGAAAGTAAAACTCTTCAAGGAGACTCCGTGCTGAAATGTATCGTACCTGTTTTGAAGTGAATTTCACTATTCTTAAAAT